CTCCTCCTGGACATGGGGGGGGGGGGGTCACGGGGGGTGGGGGGAGGCATTTGTGGATTTCCCGTATTGTGCAGGGGGCTGGACTATATGACCCTGGAAGTCCCTTCCAACTCAAAGATTCTATGATTCCAGGGTTACTTGAGTCTAGGCACCCTTGGGCTTTGACAGGAGTAACTCCGCATAGGATGGCACTGTTACTCCAGCTGATGAGGGGAAGGGCAGTCAAGTCGCACCTGACTTAGGGTGACTCCATCAGGTTTTCAAGGTAAGAGATGAACAGAGGTGGTTCTTCACCATTGCCTGCCTCTGTGTAGCACTGGACTTCCTTGGTGGTCTCCCATCCACGTACTAACCGGGGCTGACCGGTTAGTACGAGATCAGGCTAGGCTAGACTATTCTGGAAAGAACTGTTCAGAGGTGGTTCGCCCTGGCTTGCCCCTGTGTAGTCACCCTAGACTTCCTTGGTGGTCTCCAGTGTTCCATCTAAGCTGAGTTAGTGTGAGCCAGCTCACAGTTCTGTAGCCTCCGGCTCACACGTTTGTCTCAGCTCAGGAAGGATGGCTCCAGAGCACACTAATTTATGCAGTAGCCCAGGGGTCATTTCGTAGAAAAAGAGCTAGGGGAACTCATTAGCATAACTCATTAGCATATGCCACACCCCCTGACATCACCGGAAGTGTGTCATAAGGCCACACCCCCTGACATCACCGGAAGTGTGTCAAGTGTTACTCCGGTTAGTGGTTTGGTGATCTTTTTGCATGAGGTGCTTTCAAAGAGAAGCCTTTCAACCGACAAGTTTGCTCACAGCGAGCGCGAGACTCGTTTTTTATCACAGCCCTGCCCCAAAGAAAGAAACCATGTTGCATCCCTGTGAAAACGGCCTTACTAATGCCTCCTCTTCTTCTTGGACTTTCAAAACAACTGCCTTCTCCCGTGCCGGTGGAAGCGTTCACCTCAGTGTCTAAGGACTGTACCATTTTAATTTGGCTCAACCGGACCACCTAGAATGTCCGACTGGGATTGGACGAGAGCACCGTGGTGACGTTAATGTCCGATTCTTTCATGTGAGGATGGATGTCTATGTCAATGCCGGATTCTTTGCAGAGATCCAGCAAAGTATCGATGTTGCTCTGAGAGAGACGCAGGTACCTGTGCAAAGGAATGAGGGTGAGAGGATTTTAAGGCAGTGCTCAGCGATAAAAGTCACCCATGGCGATAAAAGTCACCCATCATCCCTCTGTCTCTTTACTCGCCCTTGCACCCCCTCTGGTGAAGGAGATACAGAGCATCATGGTGGCAGGATGACTTGTACTGCATGCTATGAAGGAGGAACATAGAACCTGAGCCGAGGCTGCCATTTTTGATGGCAGCTCAGCAACTCTTGGAATGTCTGGTTCTGCTATAGTTGCGCTGGAACTTTATGAAATGTACAGAAGTGATAATAATACATTCAAATGTGTAAGTTCAGATACATAAAGATAGAAGATGACAACGACGGGACGGTGGTCTCTGCAATACAATGCCGTTCCAACAAACGTCTTCTGACCAAGAGTCTATAAGTTGATGATGTATGAAAAATTGCACTTCAATGGAAAAGCTGCCCAATTCACATGGAGTTCAATAGTTTCACCTATTTCATTGCATAAGTAATGGAGAAGAACATCTCTCAAACACATAAGCTTTATTCTGTTTGAGAAATGTTCTTCTCATACATCATCAATTTATAGACTCTTGGTTAGAAGAAGACGTTTGTCGAAACGGCATCGCATTCCGGAGACCACTGTCTCGTCGTTGTCATCTACTATCTTTATGCTGGAACATTATGACAGACGCCCATTTTGGTACTTTGGGCCTATTGAGGGTACAGATGTAAAATTTCTGGAAATCTGGATACCATATGGGAGGACATTTTCTGGGGTGGTTTTTTTTTTGGGGGGAAGGAAAATTTGGGAGAAAATTCAACTATAGGCAATGCTTTCTTTCTTATCAAACCAAAAGTTACTTAATTGCTTTACCTGCATAAAATGCATCACTTACAGGTTGTATATAGAACCGTACTATTTAGCATATCTATGGAATTTGGAAATATAACAGTGCAGTCCTAAACAGGGTGGTCCTTTCAGCAGAATTCAAAAGTGTTGAAACTGACTCCAGTAGACTCGGATGGTATAATAACTCTGTTCAGCATTGCACTGCTAGGTTCTTCTACAGGGAGAATTGCAAATACACTTAATACTTGGGGGGGGGGGGGGAGGGAGAGAGAGGGAGAGAGG